CTGCAAATTTAAATTTTAATTAAAATTTGAATTGGTATTGAAATTTTCTCGCTTATGCAGCGCACTTTACGCTCGCATTTAAAATTTTACCGTCTTATTATGTTGCCGGGCGCAATATATACCGCTTGCCTTTCTTTATGCGTCGCCTGACTTTGTGCAACCTCGATGAACAAAAGTGTCAGCTGCGGTCTTGCAATCCGATCACTTAGCACAACTGTTCTCTATGAATTATTAATTACTGATTTAATTTAATCATCTTTCTACCGCTCTCAGCTTCCTTTTGCTATTCTAAGAAAAGATTTCTTCTTTTTGTCTTATATTAACCCTCGTAATGCAGCATGCGTCTATCCATTTATCTGTCTATCGATCTACCTATCCATATCTGTCTACTCATCTCTCTCCCTCTTTTTGTTTGCTCTTTATCTCCCTTTCTCTTTCGCTCTTAACGTCGTCCAAAAGCAGCTCGTTCTCTTCTGATCCGTTTCGTCCTCCGCGCCGGCGGCTCATCGCTCATCATTACCAGGATATTAATGGCGCTGGCTAATGGATTCAGTTGAGAGACCAGCGTCAGTAAGAGAAGCCCTCCCCCCCCCTCCCTTCCTCTAAGTGATCGCCTCTCTTCATCTTTCCCTCTTCCATTTTCCCACCGTGGATAAAATTCGGAAAATAAATACCGATAGCACGCCGTGATATATTATGTCATTCTAGAAGATGATGGACTCGAGGAAAGGCAAAGGGTGAGAAACAAAATTCGATCTCGAATACTTGAAAATTTAGAGCGGAGGGATTTCTACGTGAGAGGCAACGGGAAGGAGCGGGGGGAAGGAAGGTGGAAAAGTCACGGAATATCACTCTGTCGTTGCGAAGAGAAAGCGCGATGCATCGCGTCAGTGACGCATAATGTGGTTGCACTTGCAGCTGCATGCGGTTCGCCACATCGCTACCCCCGTACCACCCGCGGTAAAATGCACGGGGATAAATGATAATCCGGGTACGTTTTAGGTAAATCACGTAATCGCAATTACGTTCACGAGACCGAAAACAATTATCAACTAATCCACGTAAATCAACTCGTGCAACTAAGTGCGATTTTTCGCTCATCATTTCCGTTGAATTAACCTTGTGATTTTTTTTTTTTTTAAATACGAGTAGATTTTTTTTTGACGATGTAAATTAATTTGTTCGTTGCCTGGATTTTCTTCCGTAAGAGACGCTCCGCTTTAAGGGGCTTGAATTTTCATATTCAGGAATTTGTCGTTGTATTTTCGCCGTGCTGCGGCCGCAGTTTCGCGAATAAGAAAGAGCCAAAGTCGGATACGGGCAGCGCGAGTTTCCGGTGGATTCATGCGGTGGAACATCGGACGAATCGAAGCACGAGTAACCCGACGCCAGATCCAATTAATGGGTTCCTCGTGGAAAGCCGCGCGTAGCGCAATGAACGTAACAACGATCGTAATCGAACGGAACTGCATCGTAAGGGAGGGTGAAAGTTCCCTGATTGCGGAAGCGGATAGCAACGACGGAGGGAAGGGTACGCAACGGGTGGGCTCGCGCTTTCGAGCACCATAAATCTGTACAGGGACGCTCAATTAGTTTTTTTTTTCACTCGCGGAAAATTCGGAACGAATCCAAAGTCGCAATTTTCCTTATCGAAAGTTTTCAGTATTCGAATTCGAGAAAAATCCGAATATTTGCGTGCAAACTTTTATAGAATCAATCAACCTTACAAAATAATAATGTGAGAAAAAAAAATGTGCAAAATAATTTCGTCAGCACATTATCTCTCTGAGGAAAACTCGCGATGGTATTCTCGCGATGGTATTCTCGCGATCGTGACAAGCGATAAGAGAAGCTTCCACTTTTCCCGTTCTCCGCCACTCCGCGGAACTCGCAAGAGTAACTTCGACCATTTGCAAAATGTAACGTAGTGTCGCGTGTATATTTTTACCGGTGCGCCATGCAGATGCAGTTGAGAGATAGCATTCTCCGATCGGGCAACGATATATCAATTAAACGGAGTCTGTGCGGACGCGCGCACGCACACGGGCGTGCAGCGACGGAACGGCACGGGAAGGGGGGGGGGAGGGGGATCGATCGATCGATCCTCGTTCGAGGATTCCCTTCGCTGTCGTGCACGCCGAGAACGGGAGAAGCGATAACATCGCGGGATTGTTTATGGATCGGTGAACGGCTACTGTTCTTCGGCGCCGCCGGCCGCCTATCGCGCTCCGGCCAGCTAGGCGATGTGTGCATTATTGGATAGACGTCATCTGCTCCCGTTGAAATTGCCCGTCGCGAAATAGAAAAAAATAGAGGAAGAAAAAAAGGAAAAATCGGGAGGGACGGCTCTCGACGGTTCGTTCGTCGCGCCGACGCGTAATTCGCAGTAAGCTCACGCTCACGAACGTAAAAATGCTTCCGCAGCGTGAAACGCGTGAAGCGTACGCTCAATTAATCTCGAG